GAATCGGATGATACAGCAACTTTATCAAATAACGCCGAAGGCCTTTAAATTCTGCTGATCACATAGAATTAAGTACACAGTAATAATGTCACATGACGTTTAAAGTTGCCAAAAGTTGTATCGGATGAAAACGTAATTTGATCAAACTACGTTAAACATTCTTCTTCTTCTTTATAAGCAATTCTGCTTGTTCATTGGCGGATTAATACCTCTATGGAAGGTTATCACCATATCTTTTGCGCGGTCGTCAGATACTTCTTCTGCCGATTGGTGACTTTTTGGCGGCACAAGTCTCCTACATTCTGCTTATGTCATTATTCCATTCTTTTTTTCTATTTTGTGTCGATTTATTTATACCCTGTACCTTACATTTACGTGTACATTTTCACGATGTACGTTAGGATTTCACAAAAACCACTTGGGCGGCCTCCAGTATTCACAAAACGTCCGGAAGATAACTGGTTAGGCTTATAGAAAGGTTGTGTGATGTAGGTATACCATTAACCCCCAAAATATTACGAAAAAACGTGTATGATTTTGTTAAAGAGGCAGGAATAAGGCATCCATTCTCGGTTAAAATGGAGAAAGCTGGAAAAATGGTTAAAATTGTTTTTCTTCTGACATTGCAAAGCGTCGTGCTAAAAAACTGTAGCCAGATCCCAAAAACTAAATCGTACAGTTATCGTACTGTGAGTACTTCGAAAAACTTTGACAGATTTTACATGAGAAAGGCTTCGCAGTAACACCCGCTCAAATTTACATGTACGAAAATGATGCCAGCTTACACTGCACCACCATCAAACTGTATTGGCTAGTAAAGGTGCTACAATCGTCGCACCAGGTCATGTCGAAAATGTAACAATCGTGGCATATGGCAACGCCATAGGAAGTAGCATTCTGCCTACGTGTAACACTAAAATTGAAAACTTAAGTACAACATTGCCTTATAATGTAACAACTTTTGCGAGCTGTGTAAATGAGAAAATGAGATTGGGGTAAACTGCAGCAAAGAGTGGCGTCTTTGGAAAATCACCCCAAAGCTTCATTCTCATTTGTAAAATTTCAGGCAGAAACTTTAGAAAAACGAAAACGTGAAAAAACATTATATTTGGAATCCTGAACGAGACGCTTCTGCTAATATGAAACGTGCAACTGGTGTTTTAGCGTCTTTAGACTCAGAAATAAGTAAATTCATTAGCACCGACAGCCGTTTAGGTAAAATTAACAATAAGCCTCGACCATTTAAAATTTCCCTTTCTTCGACTTACGCTGCCGTTGACATATTAAGGAAAAGTAGATCGGTATCAAGCTCATCCTATCCAAATTTATCCATCAGACCAGACCTCACTCCCATTCAAAGGCAACATTTAACTGATATCCATCAGGAGGTCGAAGATAGGAAGAAAAATGGAGAACAAGTAATAAAAAAAGTATACAGACATATCTCGTATTATCCCGATTGCTCAAAATAAACGATCACGCGAAGAGGAAAATTCTTCAATACGTGAATCTGGCCCCAAAATTATTGAAACATTTCGGCAACACAATTAATATCACATTCTGGAACTGTCAGGGTTTTAACAACTTGCACGAAATCTGTAACGGAATTGGAGATCTTAGTATTTACGTATGACAGAAACTTGACTCACTCATCCTCTGGGAATTACCTTGGATTAGTTTTCATCTCATCGTACAATTCAATCGGAGGCTATTCAAGAAAAATCATCTGGAAGAGTAAGTGGTGGACATAATACTTATTAGTAACAAATTTAACAAGAGTAGTCTTTTAATGCACACATTTATTATCTTCAATGTATATTTGTAAGCCTAGTTTGGATTTAAGCACTACGTTCGAGATATTTCAATTAGCTTTAACTGATGTTACGGAAAAATATACAAACTCCTGGTCAAAAATACTTGAGCGAAAGCAAGTTCCTTCATCCTGGGGTAATATAATCACAACAATGATATATAAAAAGGACTAAAGAAAGGCCCTAAGAAGCATGTTATTATTATTGCGTTAATAAGTTGCTTATTTAAAGTGTTTCTGCATTTTTTATATAACCATCTCATGTGATGGTGCGAGGAATTTTTCTATATTTCCAGAATGTCAGTCAGGATTTCGGCCGAATAAAGGCTGCACTGACAATGTATACACACTATTCTCCGCTATGCAATTACAGCTTCGGCTTCGAAAACTTAATGTTTTTGCCATATTCGTTGACTCAAAATGCGCATTTGATAAAGTTAACCATTCTTTACTCTGGCATAAATTGTATAACTGTGGAGGCAGTTCACGTGTTGTTGGTTTATTGCAGTTTTTTTACTCGAATGCCACTACACGTGTCCGAACTAATGACTTTTACACATCGCCATTTTTCTTCGAATCAGGAGTTCTCCAGGGAGAAGTATTAAGCCCTCTTTTATTCTCAATATTTCTGTCTAAGATGGAGTATTACTTCAAAGATAACGGCTGCGCTGCATCCCTATAGATAGAAATGCTGAACTATTAATGTTGTTGTATACAGATGACATTGCTTTCCTCGCAGACTCGCAAATATATGAGCCGTTGAAAACCACAGTGGTCCAAGTCAAGAATTTCCCGTTACGCCTTATCGGTATATAATTATGTTTAAGAGTGTTCCATTTTGGTTCAAAATTTGAAAAATATTAGTGCATCCATTCACTCACAGGCAATGCTATTGTGATATATGTCAAATGCTATGAAGGTTGCCGTTTTAAGGCAAAATGGTCTAAGTCTGACTTAGACCATTCTGTCAAGAGTTTGTTATAAGTGTCACGTCTGCTTGTAGTAAAATCAGTTCTAGTGAATCAGTAAAAGAACCATTGAACGACGATTCAACAAAATCTAGTTCTGATAGCGTTAAGTTTAAATTTTTTTATTCCCTTTCACAACCTCAAACGCGTAAATAGCAATATTTTATTTGCACGTTTGTTTCAGCTGACAAACATCCGACGTTGGTATTGGGATCAACTACCAAGCATGTCGACAGAAAGCGAAATAGAGAGCCAAGTAAACACATCAAGAATGTTCGAAAACAAAAAAGAAACTGTGGAGAACAATATGTTGCTACATCTAAAAAGTTTATAAAAACGAAAGAGTTTCATAACAGAGAGTGTACATGCCAGGACAAATGCAGTCAAAAAATTTCTCAGGAAGCAAGGAAAATGACGTTAAAAAAATTTCTGGAACATAGCTAATTTTTCAGTACAAAGTGCTTTTCTATGTGCTATTGTAAAATTGTCTAAACCAGCCACTCATTGTCCAAGAAATGGTATAAAGCAGCAAAAAGCGGTAACCCACACTTATGTTCTAAATACACCCAATGGGTCTCATAGTGTGCAAAATGTATTTTTTGCAAACGTTTGCAATAAGTAACGGTAGGTTAACGCGTACATTAAAAAAGGGATATATATCATTTCCTGGTGAAGATCTGCGAGGTAAACACACACTTAGCAATAAAACTGCTGAAGGAAATATACAGTTAGTACGCGATCACATAAACAGCTTTCCCTCGTATGAATCTCATTATACACGAGCTCATAATCCTAACAGGAAGTTTTTAGATCCACAGCTCAATGTACGTACAATGTATAACTTGTAAACAGGGACTTGATGGGACTTTAGACGACGACGTTCTTTATGAATCGTTTGTAATTATATATTTTTTTGCTTTACTCCACAACATTGAACATATTGAAAACCAGAGTGGTCTAAGTCAAAATATTAACAGAAAATATATAAATTTCGAATGCTGACTCATTGTTCCGCTGGAATTGTTTAAGTTTAAAAGCTTTTTTTATTGAAAATCATCCTGATCATAGTCAATCTCTATGTCTCGTCACATTTAAAACGTAGCTTGATTTTTGTCGATAGGACACTCTAAAACATATCGAATTTTTACCGTTGAGTTGATACAAATTTTATTTAAAAATTTCGCGCACGTAACTGACATTTAAAATCGCTGGTCGCTTCAAGCGTTGTTTATGAGAGAACGGTTCATTCTACAGAAAAAGTGCTAATAAACAGGTTGAGTTTACCGAAAGCACAAGCTGAATATGACCGCAAATGTTACAAATATTTGGGTTTGGCAGTGTTGGCATGTTTTTATAATGCATATGTTGAATGCTTCAAATATAAAGAGATAAAGCTTTTAAAAAGTACATTTTGATTATACTATTTTATGAATTCTGCAATTTTTATTATATATGAAGTAATAACGAGTAGATATTTGTCTCTTTCGAGATTAATTGCAAACATCTTTTGTAATCTGGCAACTGCTGATTTGACAATTGCCAAATCTATCAAAGGGTAACTGCTAAAAAAATTTCTAATAATTAACGGCGATTAATCTCCAAAGAAACAAATACTTACTCATTGCTGTTTTATTTAAATAAAAAATTTCAGAATTCGAAACACAATATAAATAAAATGTACTTTTCTAAAGCTTTATCTTTTTATATTTGAAGTATACAACATCTACATTCTAAAAACATGCCAACACTGCTATACCGAAATTTGTTGTTCCATGTTTGACATTTGGAGCTATAATCATCTTGTACTTTCGGTACACTCAACCAATAAACAGTTTTGTTCAAAATTATCTCAGATGCGTACAGATTCTTGGTAAATCGATGTGTTCCGTTTCCCCTCTACCTACAAGGGGTGCGATTTAGAATGTAGTAGTGGCAAACTTTTTTGAGGACCCAAAATTGACATTCTCAGAAAATTCAGCTTGTTCGTATGATTTTTAGAGGTTCAGTGTCATTTTCGTCTCTGACGATTGGAGAATAAGCACCGAATCTTCCTCAGATTTAGTTCTAGCACCAGAATATATTTTGCTTCTTGCTATATATTTCCTATAAGAAATTATTTCTCTGGTTTGAATTCACATGAAATTTGCTCCAGGACTCGTTTTGGTATTCTTCCCATTTTTCTAACAAATTTAAACTTATTTTTAAATAAAAGACATCATATTATAGCAAAGTAAATCATATATTTTAAAAATAAATTAATTTAAAGTAACTTTAACAACTACTATAAACGTACATAATCTTTGTAATTTTAATACAGTGTTTCTGTTAATAATTATAAAAGGTCATTTTTAACTTCAATGTAACTGTCAGTTGGTTTTTAATAGGTATATCACAGATTACAATAACGAAGTTACATTCATAAAACATGAGGTAAAGCGTTTTTTTTTTTTATTAAAGTTATACATTTAAATAAATTGGCAAGCTGTACATCCCTAAGTCTATTAACAATTATCATACAACCACTTGAGTTTATAATTTTGCGCATAAGTTCATAGCACACCAACCAAAATGTTTCTTTCCAATAGTATTTTTAATACAATGCTTTCAACATCATTAAAGTGCTTTATTAGCTTTATTGAGAATTAACCACAACTTGAGTTTAAAATACATTTCTTTTGATGTTTAGATTTCCACTTTGGAAATCGTTCACACAATACAAAACATAAACATTTAAACCTTTTACTTTTAAGTTACAATTACTGGTTGTATACTAAAAAAAAACACCTGCGCCTGGTTGTATAATAACTTCCAACAAATTCTAGTTCATCTCAAACTTTGTCCAACATTGCAAAAAATTAATTACTAAATTTACTAGTTTGTTGGAGCTGAGTTCGGTGAATATCATATGATTATATCGGTCGTTGTTAGTACCAGAGTAAAATAACTTACAGTTTTATATATGTATATCATATTTCGGATATTTCATTAAAAACTGCATATTATTTCATCTTTATGAACTGTAAAAGTTTCTAGTAATGAATCAACTTCAGCTACAACTTTCGAGAGCTGTGAGACTTTGTCGTGATAGAGGGCTTTTCATATTCGGTTGTGGCCGCCAATTAAGTGGGGTGAACACGACCGAGTGGAAGCTAAGGATGACTTAACTCCGGCTATCATGTGACACCTAAAGTTTATTAGTCTACTCACCGCGTAGAAGACTCTGCGGGAGTGACCATCCGTTCTCTAGTTTCTCTTGGGACAAGAACGGGCTAGGAACAAACAAAGAAAGAGGAACACAGCCTCAACCATCCAGTAACTCTGGAACTCGACACCGCTGCAGATATACTTCTAAAGATAAAAATGAACAACTGAAAGTAATGAGGAAAACGGCGATGAAGGTTAGCAAGAACAGTTTGCCTCCAATATTGCCGGGCTAGTGCCGTACTTCTCAAAGTTCTCACGTCTAGCAAATTTTGTCCTCTGCCACATCATCCTCCCACGTTTACCGCAGCCTTCTTTTTGGTCTTGCGATTCTAGGTTATTCTCTATATTATTCCCCCTGCAGGGTTCTTTTCGACAATCTGTGGCCTCCATGCTCAATACATGACCAGCCTATCGAGATCTCTGAAGTTTTCATTTTCTCAGTTTCCTTTACTCCCTATTAAACAGTATTTGAGCAAAAATAATCACAAAAAAATAAATAATAGAAGTTTCCAGATGTGTAAGATCTTCCTTTGATATTATTTAGTATATTTATGTCAGCTTAAGAAAAAAGTACTAAAAATATAAACAGTAGCCCTACAAAAAATAATTTTGATATTATATTTTTATAATAATTACATTTTTATTCGCTAAAGATCAACATTTTTTCCTTTAAATATATATTTAATAGAATTTATAGACTTGTTCATAAACAATATAGATCTTTTCTGAAAACTGATCTTTTTTATAATTAATTCCTAGTTTACTACATTGTTAAAAATGATAATTTATAATACTTTTCAGATTACATTGTACAGCATTAAGAGCGCATTAATTATTTGCTAAAGCAAACTATTCTGACGGTTTCTTCGTGAAATGTCGATTGATCATTGTGTATATCAAACCTAGTGTTAAAGATCCTACTGCCGCCCCTTGGGCTCCGACTCGAAGGTGCATTAGGTATACACTTGTACTCATTTTTCCTTTATTTTTATAGGCATAAATTCCATATCCTACTGCTGCAGCACACACCCCAATAGCTGAAACAAAAATATTTTTTGTAATGTTTTTTCTCTTTAGTGGCATTTCTATAATTAAACATGGTCCAGGCTGTGAGGCCGCTCCCGTTGGGAAAATGTTTCCGATTCGGTTTCTTCGCGGATTCCGGTTCAAAAATGTCCCCTTTAAACAAATCTGAAGGGTGCCGGGCGAAATTTTTGGGCAGAAATTGTTTAAACAATTTTTTTAAACAAATTCCAAAAATATTTTTGTTTAATCTGGAAAATATTTTTTTAGGTTTTTTGGGTCATTCTAAACAAAAAAGGTCTCTTGTCATTTTTTTCTAAAGTTGATAGTTTTCGAGTTATAAGCGATTTAAAGTCTGAAAAACGCGAAAATACGCATTTTTGAGGCTTGAAAACACATATGTAAATTATTATTTTTGAGGTTACCAAGTGTCTAAATTGAAGTTTAAACATTCAAATTCAAGATTGTGAAGAGTAATCGGGGCTTATTTTAATTTAGACCGTTGTTTTTTAATTGTTAAGTATGCGCGTACACTCGATTTTTCAGCCGCCGCGGCGCGGCGCGCTATCGTGCGCCTCTATCGTACGTAAGTTTATTAACATAGTTTTTTCCATAATTTATTTATGTAGGTATTAATTATTGTCATTGGGCTAATTAAATAAATCAATCATCGCAATGTAATAACCGTATATAGTTTTTAACCGTATATAGTTTTTAACCGTATATAAAGGTCGTGAGTTCGAATCCCACCTGGGTGGAAATTTTGGTTTATTAAAAAAAAATTAATAAATGAAAATAATTTCTATCCTTGTGTGATCGGTACACACCGGAGGGACCGCAGACGTTCGGATACAATTAGCGTCTCTTAGCAAAGACAATGACGTCGTCTTTGCTAAGTATCAAGACAATTACTCTACACACACAAACACACACACACACACACACTACATTAATAAAACTTATCTTGATTGAGACTGGCTGAATGACAATTGTCCAAGCCAAAACACACAAAAAAAAAGTATATAGTTTTTTTTCTTCCAAATTTGAACAATATAATTATTATTTATTGAGTATATATTTATTTATATCAATTGTAAATAATATTTTTAAATTATTATTTAAATAATACAGTGCAGTAAATATTAATATTAATAGGCAATTAATAGGCAAAATGGGAGAATCCGTAAACGATGCAAGAAAAACAATTTTTAACAGATCATGTGGCCTAGGAATTTCTCTAGCCATTATACCTTGTATCTCTGACGCACTTTACCAACACTTGTTAAGAGCTTTCGCTCAAACATATATTTGGCGAAATGCCATATATTCTCGCTATCAAACTCTCGATTTTACACAATATGGATATTATATGTCTGATAGTGGTGGGTTATTACCAAGATTCCTAACTCAAAACCCATTACCAGAAACACTGGTGAAACCGTGCAAATGCAAAAAGACTTGCAAAACTAATGCTTGCAACTGCAAGAAAAATCATGTCAACTGTGTACCATTATGTGGATGTGATTTAGATTTTTGTGAAAACAAAGATACTTTTACTGAGTGATATTAGTGTGTTATTTAACAATCTTTTGTACAATTATTTTATGTCACTGCTATTAGACTTTAAATAAAATGTAGTTTATATTTTACGAAATTTATATTATAACTCAATTGATATAAATCAATATATACTCGATAAATAATAATTATTTGTAAGTATGTGTAAGTATATGTAAACTATGCATAAGTACGATAGAGGCGCACGATAGCGCGCCGCGGCGCCGCCGGCTGAAAAATCGAGTGTACGCGCATACTTAACAATTAAAAAACAACGGTCTAAATTAAAATAAGCCCTGACTACTCTTCACAATCTTGAAGTTGAATGCTTAAACTTCAATTTAGACACTTGGTAACCTCAAAAATAATAATTTACATATGTGTTTTCAAGTCTCAAAAATGCGTATTTTCGCTTTTTTCAGACTTTAAATCGCTTATAACTCGAAAACTATCAACTTATCAACCGGAATCCGCGAAGAAACCGAATCAGAAACATTTTCCCAACGGGAGCGGCCTCACAGCCTGGACTAACAGTGATGTTTATATCAAGAGGAATAACTGTAACCAGCTAAGTCGACTACATGAAAGAGTGTTAAAAAACTTCATATATGAAAAATATAATCCATATGAATCTGAGGAGCAAAAAGGATTCAGAGCTGGTAGATCTACACTGGAATACATTTTTAGCATAACCAAGTCATAGAAAAAAACCTTTTAGAAGCACAAGAATATGGTGGATTTAACGAAAGCATATGACACAGTATCCATTAATAAGCTATGGGAAGTCCTAGAAAAAACTAATAAAGTATTACTCTGATTGACACTCTGAAGGAACTGTACAGAAACTCTACATTTAAAATTAACTTAAGAAATAAATTATCGGAAGGCTTCATGGTCACTAAAGGACTCAAGAATGCTGCCTATCTCCAGTATTATTTAACCTATACATTGATTAAGCCCTGCGACAGTTAAAACAGAAATGGGACTACCGATATGCGATGGATACAACACTCTACACCAGTGGCGGCCGGTCAGGCCTTATCGCTGCCTTAAATAGTTAAAGGGATTTTTGATATACTTGAAGTTAAACAAATCCAGATAAATTAACTAAAAAATGCAAGCTATGGGAGAAACTTGAACTACTGATAAATCTGGCATTGTAAATTATATTTTGCAAAATGGGTTTTAATCTATTCCGTACAAAGAACAAATTGATATTAAAATTAAGGAGCGTCCTTTGCCTAAACTAGCCCGGCTGATAAATATTAGTGCGGGAGATGAGGTAAGTAATATATTATTTTTGAATAATTGGTAAAACAAGTACTCATGGCTTACCGAGTGAAATAAAAACAAACTTTTCTGTTGGCCTTGCATCTTATTTTCGACAAATAGGGGTATACATAGGGTGACCATAATTTTTCAACAAAAAAAAAGTACATTTATAATTTTTAAGAAAATATGTACACTGCTAGTGCCCTAGGAAATTTTTTTGGTCAAATTTTACGAATATTTAATGAAACAATGATAAGAACGATTTTTTTAAATCAAATATACGTACATAAAAAATGTATGATAAATTGTAATAGTTAATTTTCTTTCGACGTTTCTTCTTGAGCATCGTGATCATCTTTTTGGTACCAGTTGTTCTTTTTGGAACTATGAATTTCCTTCAGAAGTTGTGGTTTACTCTTTAAGAACTGAAACATTTCATTGCACGAAATTTTGAAGTTTGTGTAGACTTGCATGATGGTTTCCAGAGTAGATATTTTCAACTCCGGTTTGTTGGGACTCCAATAGTTATTGATATTTGAGAACAACCGCTAAATCGACGCACTGGTCCCAGGCAGACAAAAAATAAACTCACATAGAATTTTGAGATTTTTCAAAGCACTTTCGTTTTGGTAGATTTCGAGCCATCGATCTTCGGTAGAAATATTTTTCGAATTCCAGTCTGCGATTTTATCTTCTGTAACGTAGGTTCGTATTATACTAACTTCATCAAACAGTTCGTCCTGATTCCATATCGGACCTATGTAGTCTTTAAAAGCCTTACATGACGATAAAATTTCATCCCAAGAAACTTGTTTTTTCAAGTTAACCCATCGGAATAGCTTTAGTTCACTTAAATTTTCACTCCGGTTTTTCAAATATGTTACACAATTTGAATAGAACTGCTTGGCATACGTGATACAGATATCCCGATAGTTTACACTAAGGTCAAGGTCTTCCATATTTGCAAGTTTTGAAAGTGACTCTCTTACTTTAAGCGTTAAAAATAACTCATTTAAGCGATTTTGAAGCTTATTTATGAGTTCGAAATACTCCCAAGTGGCTTCCGTTGCGCATATTTTGTCACCTTCTACATCTAAAATCACTTTGTGGAAAAGAGACGCAATGTTATGCACAAACCACATCTATGCTTCACTGATTGGGTTTTGCAAAAACTGTTTTATAACTGTTGGACAATTATCAATCAATAAAAAATATGCTTTCAAGAGTTCGAACATTTGTATAATTCGTTCAATGGCTGGCATTAGGCTCAAAAATCTTGTTTTTGAAAACGACAACATTTGTTTGTACTCGATATCAACAAAATCGCAAAACTGCTTTAGTTTCTCCACTCTGACTGTAAAAATATAGAAATACTTAAAAATCTTGACCGCAATAACCTCGATGTCTATGGGTAAGACGTCCGTTGCATTTTGTAAACAGTTATTAAAAATGTGTGCCACACAACCAATTCCAATCCGGGTTTACCACGAGAAGCATTTAATTTGCTGGATAGATTGTTCACTCCAGTTCTTCTCATTCCACCAAATTTGTATTTGTATCATCAGCAGACATTCCGATGCATTTTTGTAGTATATTATGGTAATTCAAAACATTGACCACGTAATCTTTTAACTGCTCTGATGTTTCACCAGTTAAGTCACCTAGCAGAAGTAATTTTACTTGCTAAGTAATTTTCTCCATCAAAATATCTTACCATTAAGAGCACAACTTTAATTTCTCGATGATTCGACGAATCGATTGTGATGCTAACGAAATTTGCTTTTCGAAGGTCAATTTCTAATTGGGATTGAGCCTCTTGAGCTAAAACATTTTTTACAATCGCCTCAGTCTTGGTTCGAACTGCAGCAAATTTAGGTTCAAACATGCTTATCATTAGTTTTGATGTGCAGTCTGAGGATTTGAAACTTTGCAAATGCTTAATTGTATAGTAAGCAAAAAGTACCTTTCTTGGCAGCAATCAACATATTTTCAGATCTTTTTTTAACAAAGGTTTGCAATTTGCTGCTCTTCGAGTTCGCTTTACCAGCCAACATGTGTTTTTTCTTTTACAAATGTTGTTTGATATTACTGCGACCACTGTTAGAAATATCAACATCACTTTTACAAATTTGGCAAATCACAATATGCGGTGAAACATTTGATTTTTGTTTCATAAAAGGATACT